TCAATTCGATCAAATGTTTCTTGACCAAAACATACTCCAAGAATTCCTCAACATCCTCCTTTAGTTCCAACTCTATTTTAAGCTCCAAATATGCATCCAACTGCTCCCAAAGCACTGCTCCACTCGAACTATCTGAAATTGACATAAAAACATGAGCAGTACGAGAATTCTAACGAAAGACATGAGCTTAACATTATTTAATTAAATGACATGAAAATGTATAATATATGATGATAAAAGATAATAAAAACTCCCCTAAAAGATGCATAAAATGACATCTAACAAAACACCTCCCACCGGAGGTGGGTCATCCTCCGACCACCAGAAAAGGGCGGCAGTCCTTCGTTCCTCCACCGGTGATCATAGATCACCACAGCCAAACAACCACCCTCGGGAGCTACATCAACCCTTTGACACCGGATCAGATCCGATGATGGCCAGATTGAAGAAAAGAGCTCGACGGAAAAGGGTGACTGCCCCTCCCCTTTCTCATCTCTCTTCCTTCCGGTTGAACAACGACCCAAATGCCGCCACCTGCTGTCGATTTTACCTCCGATTTCCCCTCCTCTTTTCTCGATCGAACACCACTGAACTACCCCAACTACCATCGTTCTACCACTGATCTGATTCATTGGGTTTCCCTTGCTGCAACTGTCGCCGGAGATGAATCTCTCTGCCCATCCCTACGATTCGATCAACCACCGTCGGAGCTCCTCATCAACTTCCATTGTCTGTCCTTTCCCGATCGTTGAAGACGGAGATCTGTTCCCTTTTTGTATGGTTTTTCCCAAAACAACCCCTTAATTGTTTAAGATGTTACCTAATCTGTTCCTCCATTGCTTTGGTATGACCAAGTCAGCCCCTGTGTGCATTATTCAATCAAATCAGGCCCCAATGGATTAAGTTATTACAAAAATGATCCGTTTTGGATATAATTTATCACAAAACAGTCCCTTGTGTTAGATAAATTACAAAACAACCCTTTTTAAATGTAAAGTATTTCAACAAGTCCCTTTTGTTTAAGATACTACAAAAATAGTCTCGGGGTTTGTTTTAGCTCAAAAAGGTGTTGATTTCGGTTACTCACTCGAAACTTCACATGAATGAACCAACTTCGAACGAATCGAACTTATGCTTCAAGGGTGAGTTTCTACGACCCTCTAATTTATAGTTTTTATATCTGGGGAGAATACATGCGTGTCTATTGAAGTTTTGATTGTTTTCAGGTTTTTATACGTTAAAATGCATCATACTTGTTATTGGTCAAAAGCTTATGAAATAGCAATCTAAAATGTTATAAATCATTAATAAATCATACAAGTTAAAGTAGATTGCTAAAAGATAATATACTTATACTTTGTCGTGAAATATTAATATGAATATTAAGAAAAATTACAAGATCACATGTATGAATGCTATAATGGTGTAAATCTATTTAATGATTTATAAAGGTTATGGTATTTTTCATATATAAGTTTGAGCATGTTAAAAATATATAAAAAGATATTATGTAATAAAAAATATCATTCAACATATTTATACGTAAAAGGAAAGTACATTGACATAAATGGTGGAAAACCAAGTTTATGAAATTATATAATTATTAGTTAAAATTTTCAAATTTAACTTTTAATATATAAAGTTATGTAAAAATGAATGCAAAAGTTTATTAATATATTTTACACTAGCTATAAAAATATAACTCATTTTTACAAAATTTACAGATGTTCCTCGCATAAAATAACATGATTAACTTTAAGATTTAAGTATCGTTAAATATGAAATATCGTATTGTATCGATAATTTGACTTATTAAGGTTATGGAATTTGTTGGTTTCACATTGGGTTATCTACAGAAAAGTCCCAAACGTTTTTCAAAAGTTTCAATAAAGTTCTAAAAGTTTTTTTTGAATAGATAAGTCCCAATATTTTGATGTTTTGCCTAAATTAACGAAAAAAATCATTTTTTATATCTGAACAGTAAATAATAGATTATATAATTTTTTCAAAATATTGAGACTTTTCTGTTCAAAAAAACTTTTAGGACTTTATTGAAACTTTTGAAAAAAGTTTGAGACTTTTCTGTAGATAACCCGTTTCACATTGGTTGAAACCTGGAAAATATTTTAAAAGCAGTCGTTATTTTGCCCAAATTTTGTCATATCAGATAGTAAAAATTTGGAAATCCTGTAAGACTTACGAACGTTAAATACTAAAATACTTTAATCAAAAATTATTCTTGAACAACAAAATTATAAGTATTCAACAATCTTATAACGAGAAGTTTAGGATTAGGATGCCTAGACACATTGTTAGGATCCATCACACGTACGAGATTCCTATATGAGCTATGTTCGTTTCTAAATGCCATAGGAGCTAGGATCATTTCCTAAGTTGCGGGCTATGTTTGTTGGGTATACTAAGACTGTGTGTCTTGGTGAAAACCCTCTATTTTTATAACCGTTAATCCGTGAGGAACAAAGAATGACAAGTATAAGATTTATATTATTGGACTTATATGGTTCGACCGGCCACCTGGAGTTGCTAGCTACAACTATCGTCTGACTAGACGAATTATGCACTGACGTTCAGTCTTTATCTATTCCACTATGTATTAAAACATTAAGGATGACTATCAGTACACTTGATTATGGAACTAGTGCTGTAGTGTAGTGTCATAGTCCGGTTATGGGCTGACATTCAGTCTTTATTTATTCCACTATGCATTTAAAACGTTGAGGATGACTATCAATACACTCGATTTTGGGAGCTAGTACTGTAGTATAGTGTTGTAGTTCGGTTATGAGCTCATTATAGATCCCATATTTGTTTTATTACCGTATAGAATCGACTTTTGGTTTATATGGTGTTTTATTTGTTCACTTATTCTAGTTGAATGAGACTGTATGTAGTGTGATAGTTTGAGACTTAAAATGATAAGTGTCAATACCAACAATTAAGTCATATAACACTTAATTAATAGCATGACACGACTGGTTAAGGTTTAATAACTTACAATTAATAAGTTGTTTATATAAACCATTTGTTTTTATATGAAAACACCATATTTATGTGAGATGAGTTTGCCCGATTGGCTAAGTGTTGGTTCCTAAATTAAGTAGATAACACTTAATTAATACCACGACACGATTTTTACAAAACTTATAAATTCAAAACTTATGACTTCTACATATAAACTATACAATTTCTTGTACGAAACTTCAAGAGTAAAGTTGGTTATTTTATGTTCTCACAAAAGGTAACACACCTTATTTTTATATAATTTGATATTCAAAACCCTATATAAACAACATTCTGGTCATGAGAACCGTAAAATTTCGATATAAGTCTGACTTACTTATATGTATTTTGCCAAATTTTGTACTTTTGGATTTGAACAAATGATATTTCTAAATGAGACAAAATACACTTTTATAACTCATTTTTTTTATACTTTTGATAGAAAAGTAAGTATTTATAAAAGCTGGTCAACCAGTTAAATTTTTATAAAACACTTTTGGTTATAAAAAGATTTTGTGTCAAAACCTATTGAACTCACCAACATTTTTGTTGACGTATCTTAATGCATGTATTTTCAGTATTCACAGGTTGGAAGGATTTGCATAGAATACTTTATATTATTTTACTATACCATTGTAAATGCCGATCTGTTAGGTGTGTGTAGTGATTTACCAATAATCACCGTCGATGTAATTTCTATTTCGGTAATAATAGAATATTTTATTTTGTACCGTTCAACGTATGTTCAATAACTGTGGTGTCGCGCACCTCGAGGTTTCCGCCGGCGGCCGGGGGTGTGACAAACTACATGATCTTTCACGTGTGATTTCTTCTTCCCTTCAATATCTACTCCAAGCGTGTCTTTTATAAAGGGCATACTCATTGAACATCACATCCCTACTTCTAATAACCATTTTACTTTGATCATCCTATAAACGATATCCCATTTTATCCATACCGCAACAAATAGACATGCATTTCCCAGCCTTTGTCTTGAGCTTGTCTCTGTTAGTATCCTTGATCATGACATAAGAAACACATATGAAGAATCTCAAGAGTGTAAGAGTCACATGTTGACCTTGCCATTCATATTTTAGATTCTTGAACCCTATCAAATTCGAGGGTCCACGATTGATTAGATAAGTTGCTGTATGTACTAAATCTGTCCAAAACATCTTTGACAACCCTGCATGGAGCCTCATACTATTTGCCCTTTTATTCAATGTCCCATTCATTATTTCTGCAATATCATTTTGTTGAGGTGTCTTTTGAACTATCGTCATCATCTTTATCTATTCTCAACATAATAATCAATAATCTATTTGTTGCTGTACTCTTCCCCATTATCCGATTTCAAACACTTTGATCTTTGACCGGTTCGGATCTTGAACCGTTTTTTTTTGTGCATGCCTAATTCTAGGTCATAAAACTATTTTGGATGTGTTATTTAGGCTGTTGAGGTTTGTAACATCACATCATCGTCTAATTGGCACAAATGTAAGAATTTGAGCCCTATTTAACCACGGTAGGAATTGGGCCAATTGACCATAATTCCATAACATCGCCACATTGGGCCTACTCCGTTTAAAGTTAGACCATCTTCTCTTGCATTTGCCATATTCTCAAATCTCATCCGATCTCATTGGTCGGTTGCTCGATCCACGCTTTGTCAATAATCCTAAAAATTATGTATAAATTGTAATCACACGTGTTAAATGCCATGCAATAATTTGGATCAAAATTTCTCTTTTTTTCCCATGAAATTAAGCCATGCTGGCAGTGGGCCCTTGTTTAACCAAAAGGGTGTCCAAGAACATATACCCTTTAGCTGGCTTATAAGTCCCCTTCATCTTGAAGCCTTTGCAAAAGCAAGTCTCCCTTGATACCAAACCTATGACCTCAAGCAACCTTTATACATTCAAAGATTCTTCTGTGACACTATTTATTCACAACATCTAAACAAGATCATATATATTAAATATAACTCCACAAAGACAGCACCTTAACTGTTTCCCACCTCTAATCCATCAATGGACTACTCCTTTCCAAGGGAGACCTTATGGAGAACTGCCTCAAAAATCACCATTTCAGCGCACCTGTTTGGTATCTTAGCAAACATCCTTATGCTTATTTGGTTGTTGCACTATCGTGAAGGCATGGACCTTGATTCATCCAATCCATATCGTATATTCAATGTAAATCACTCCCATTCATGTTGATTATACTAACTGAAACTTGTAAATTTTGATTAATTAAAGTTATCGATCATCATGCATATTTCTTTGTACAGGTCCACCCTTTCCTAATGTTCTTCGGATTCATATTCCTCATTGGTGAAGGTATGTTTGTTTTTTTATCGAAATCATTTATTTGGATTAAAATCCAGATGTTAATGCATTCAAATCTTTATGTGTGTTGTTGGAGCAGCGATGATGGCATACAAGACAGTTCCAGCAGATAGGCAAACACAGAAGTTCGTACATATGTTCTTGAACCTCTCAGCTCTTGTTTTGGGCATTGTGGGGATACATGCGACATTTAAGTTCCATGATAAGATGAACATGCTCGATATGTATAGCTTGCATTCTTGGATTGGCATCGGCACATTCTGTCTTTTCATCTTGCAGGTAATAAATATATATGTTCTTTTTGCATCTTTCATGTATACTTACTTTATCAGTATTATCCGTAAAGATTATCTTGTGATTAATCTTCTAACTACACGTGTTTGCTTGTTTCTTGTATCTTTGAATTGGACAGTGGTTATTTGGGTTCAGTTTATTTGTGTTTCCAAAAGCATCAGCTGTGACAAGAGCAAGACTAGCGCCATGGCACGTGTTTGGAGGAAGAGCTTTGTTATACATGGCGATATGTGCAGCTGAAACTGGACTGATGCAGAAGTTCACATTCTTGCAGCTCACCAACAACCGAGAAAGTTATTTGATCAACTTTCTTGCTTTGGCCATCCTTTTGTTTGGGATCACAGTTGATATTTCTGTCTCTCTTGGTCGTTTTGCTTGAGTGAATATTGAAGGGTGTGATAATTTTTAATTTGATTTTCGGGTTTGTTTGAAGGAATTTCATTTGTATTAAAGATTTATTGGTTGGTTTTGTGTTCCATGACTGCCCTTGTTGTTAATATCGTTTTTACAGTCATTTGTACCTTAGCTCCAATCCAACCATATCCAAACTCTAGTTTATTTTTTCCTCCACTACATAGAGACCTTTGGACACGATCTATTCATGACGCCTTGTAGATTGTAGCTCTGATCCCACGTAGATGAAATTGGCCACACTAGTTTGTCAAGAAAGATTCTGTCTGGTAAGAAAGCAAGCAAAGATATTGTTAGAGTTTGACTTGGATTTTAATTAGTAACTTGAATAAGTAATCGGACCCAAAAATGTGAAGAATCCTAAATGACAATTTCGAAAGGATAAGTGTTAGGCTCGAAGCCGTACACTTATCCCACCGTAGTATGGACCTATAGTTTCTAGAGTTCACTAATAAGTATTCGTAGCTAGGAATTCTGATATAATCACTTTGAAAACGGTCGAGTAGTAGAAGAGTTCTCCGATTCTTTCACGTGGACGTATACTAGATTGTCCGAACAACGTTAATTCTCAATGTTGTTATATCAATTTCTTTGCTTGCTTGTTTTCTTGTGTAAGAAATATTGATTTAAACGGAATATGATTGCACATACAGTATAAACATGTGTAAAACAATAAAGTAAAACGAAGAGTAACACTAAATTTTTTATGTGGAAAACCCTATCGAAGAAAACCACGGTAGAGGATGGCGCGAACAAATTCACTATATTAATGAGGTTTACAATGCTTCAAACTTCTAAAACAAAGGATCTTTAATTGTGTAGTTAAATAGTTAGAATTAGTGTATACAACAACAAACTATCCAAGTCCCAAAAGAGGGAGGTAGGATATATATATATATATATATATATATATATATATAGGAAACCTCTACTCAAGGATAATGAGATTGATTTCATTGATGATTTGACATAAGGAAAAATTTAAGCCTAACATGAGCCCACACTAGAGTATACTAAACATCACCCACAATGAAGAATAAAGAGTGATGTGTGACTAAAAATAAAAAACATATACACACACTAAAATTGAAAGATAGAGAGGAGAAGATACCATTAATACAAGATGAAACTAGAGTAATATGGTAGAAACTATGTGACAAACACAAACAATGGAAAGGAAACAAGTACCAAGGTCTATACTACTCCATTATCCGAATTTTTAGCCTCTACACGCTCCTAATTAAGGTCATGATTTTGATAATAGCCAACTCCTTCAAACCTAACACTATCCTCTTTAATGTCACCTTCACTCTGATGGAATCAACCCCTTGCACCTGGTGCAAAACAGAAAACAACAGAGTACATAAGAGGAAGAACAGGGGAAGCTTTTGAGACAATTTTCTCGTTTTATTTTCAGGTGCTCAAACTCAAAATGAAAAGAACGAACTACATAAAGCAAAGAAATCCCTAAAAGATAGCAACAAACTATCCATGATCTACTTCTACTAAAGAAAACGGAATTGGTGGCCTACATGGCCTTTTACTTATTCAAACATAAAAATTGACTAAAATGCCCCTGAAGAGAGTCTGAGTCTTTTGAACACGTTTGGATTAAATCCAACATACTCTCCATTAATCCAAAGTGTTTAGGTCATGCCATTGCCTTGAACTTCAACTTGTTACCTGTTGTACTCCCAACAGATCTCTCATCTCCAAAAATTGAGTCTTCCCCATTGACTTAGTAAAGATGTCGGCTCTCTGTTTCTTGCTGCACACATGTTGGACAACAATGTCATTTTCCTCTACACGTTCACGAATGAAATAGTATCTCGTATCAGTATGTTTGCTTCTCCCGTGGAATACAAGATTTTTGCCAAGTCCAAAGCAGACTTGTTGTCAATGTACAAAACAGGTGCCTTGATCTTGCAGTTACTTACTTCACTTAGCAGTCGTCTGATCCAAATTGCTTGGCATGTTGCTGAGGTGGCTGCCATGAATTCTGCTTCACAGGATGACAGGGCTACACAACGCTGCTTTAATGATACCCATGCGACCAAACTCTCATTTAGATAAAATACCATTCCACTCGAGCTTCTTCTATCATTCACATCTCTTGCTAAGTCGCTATCAATGTACCCGGTGATAACACTTTCTCTATTACCCTTGCCATAGACCAGACCATAGTCTGTGGTCCCTTTCACATACCTCAAGATGTGTTTCACTGCTTTCATATGTTGAACTGTGGGTCTCTCCATGAATCTACTTACCAACCCAACAACATAACTGATGTCGGGTCGGGTATGGGTCAGGTATCGCAGTGCACCAACCACACTCACAACATTAACTTGTACTCCATCCTCATCCTTGGTTAGTTCCAATTTATGTTCCATTGGGTACTTACAAGGATTGCACTCCTCCATTCCAGTCTTAGCTAGTATTTCTTGGCATATGTTGTTTGCTTCATGGTGATTGTTCCTTCGTGTTGATGGACTTCAATTCCAAGATAAGATGAGAGTTTTCCCAGATCGCTCATCTCAAATTCCCTGTTCATCTGTTCTTTGAAGCGTGTTATCTCATTGTTACAGTCACCTGTAACTATGAGGTCGTCTACATACACACCCACGATCAGTGTTTTTCCCTTTGTGTTCCTTGTATATACAACATATTCTTGCAAGCATCTTTTGAATCCAATTTTCTTGTGATACTTATCGAGTCTTGAATTCCAATCTCTTGGTGCTTATCGAAGTCCTTATAACGCCTTGGTTAACTTGTACACCTTGTTTGGTTGAGCATGATTCACAAAGCCCTCCGGTTGTGTCACATAATGTGACATCCCCTAATTTCTCGGCCAGAAAAGACCGATTTCGTTTATGCTTTTTAAAATAAAATCAGAGTAATCCTTTTAAAAGGTGTTGCAGAATTTGCTCCCATAAAAACATGATAATTATATTATCAAATCATTTCTGAAGAAATGTATTTTATTCACTTAAACCATTGGGATGTCATCGTCAATACAGAAACATAAGCATAAACAGAGCTTACACACACTTACACTAGTGATCTACATCTCTTTTAATCTCTCAGTGTAAAGTAACTTCGTATCGATACCTGTGATACAAACAAACTGAGTGGGTCAGGCTTGGGAGCCTGGTGAGCATATAGGGTTTTCAACCCACAATAAATAATTTATTATGCTTAAACATCAAACAATCAACCCAATTACCCTATCCCCATTATCTTATTTATTTCTTAAGGATTTACCCTAAGAATCAAATCTCACTCATTCCTAAGGATTCATCCTAAGGAATAGGCACGAAGTCCATCGATGCCCAAGGTTTATACTACAAACACTAACAAACGTCGATCAAGAATCGACTATCCTTCATCCAGTCATTCCTCAGGATTGACCTAAGGAATTTATCCAAAGTCCATTGCTACTAAGGTTCATACAACAGGCACTACGTCACATAGTCGCCAGGGATTTTATACAATAGGCACTATGTCTCATAGTCTCCAAGGTTTATACAATAGGCACTACGTCTCATAGTCGCCAAGGTTTATACAATAGGCACTACGTCTCATAGTCGCCAAGGTTTATACAATAGGCACTACGTCTCATAGTCGTCAGGGTTTATACAATGGGCACTACGTCTCATAGTCGCCAAGGTTTATACAATAGGCACTACGTCTCATAGTCGCCAGGGTTTATACAATAGGCACTACGTCTCATAGTCGCCAGGGTTTATACAATAGGCACTACGTCTCATAGCTGCCAACGTACTAAATACATAGCTACCAACATACATCTATACTGTACTAAATTCATAGCTACCAACGTACATCTATACTGTACTTTTATCCCTCATACTTTATCTACGCATGTTTTACCCAACATATTTGAAGATAAAATATATATACATTTTAAATCATTTTAAACATGTATAAAACATTCATTCAACATCCATCTCAAATAAACAAACAACATATATACACATATCACGTATTTTATATAAAATAGTTCATATCTATGTGTAAGATGAAAATGACTATACACTCACATGATTTGATGATAATCGGACAGCAATTCGTTTCCTAAAACGTTCCTTTCTAATAAAACCGGGAGTTTTATTGAGAAACCGGGCTCTGCGAAAGGTCGGGCTTCAAAACCGAAAAGATAAATTTTCCGGGTCTTCGGGAACTTCGGAACGTATTTCGTGCTTTAGAAATGATACCGGGGCTTCGGGGGAAGTCAAAATGATAAAAAAGATGAAAAGTGGGTGAAAAGTGGCAAATTTCGGATTCTACCCGGGAAGTCTCGCAAGGCTCTTATTTATAGGGGAGGAGGTCTGAACGCTCGGATCCGAGGCAATGAGAAGCAAGCACGTGGCTCGCATGCGAGGAGGCAGCTGGTGCGAAGGCCACGCGGCAGAAGGGCGAGGCTCGGACTTGGCAGGTGACGCGCTTCGGATGGACACCTGCGAGCTTCGGATTGGTCGGATGACGCGGTACTCCTCGGTTCGGGCCAGCACTTCGGACCAATCAGCGGGTGACACGCGTACTGCGGTCCAATCAGCAGCGAGCACATGTCTGACACGTGGAAGCCTCGCATGCGAGGGTGACGTGTCCAAAGATGACTCTTGCGAAATTTCTCGAAAATTGTGCTCAATCTTGTAAAATCCATAACTTTCTCATACGGGCTCCGTTTTTGACGTTCTTTATATGCACGCGTAGAGAAAATTATGCTCTACAACTTTCATTTAGACTTTGTCGGAAAATTTTGACTTTATTTTTATATTATTATTTTTAACAGACCGGGACTGGTAAATCCGTTAAAAATTCATAACTTCTTCATTCGACGTCCGTTTTCGTCAGACTTTTTACCGTTGTGCTACAAATGACGAGACCTTCGATTCTCGTTTAGGTCGTGTCGGCTAAAAATCACTCGATCTAAAATTCGAGTTTTTAGCTGTCTACTGCTAAGCTGAAACTTCGAAAAATCATAACTTCCTCATACGAAGTCAGATTTGGGTGTTCTTTTTATCGAACTTCTC